AGTTCTGAAGCACGCAATAATCGATTATCACTTATGCAATAATCGATTATCAGTCTTTGCATCCAAAACCCAGAATCTTCTCAAAGGACCAATAATCGATTATCACTTGTTGACAATCGATTATCTGGGTTACCGTTGTCCTCCAACGGATAGAATTTTAAATTTTTGGACAAGGAATCTTTTGATAATCGATTATCAAGCTTGGATAATCGACTATCAGCCTGTGTCCCTGAAAAATTTGTCTTCATCCTGTTGGAAACTCTAGCAACGGGTTTATCCCATTTTAGGCTATAAAATGGCACCCAAATCCTCTCATTTTACACACAATTCTTCAACATTTTCAATACTCTTTCATTGCATAATCATTCCTAATTTTCTTAGCTATTTGAGAGCCAATTCTTGAAAAAATTATCGTGTTCTTGAGCGTTTACTTGTTCACTCATATCTACTCTTTGTGAGAGTTTTATTCCTGAGTGTTTAAGTGTTTTCATACACTTTAAGGGAGGTTGTTCCCTTGTTGTAAACTCAAAGAAAGTTCCTTGTTCCTTCGTGAGAAGTCTTGGAGTGCGGTATCTCCGAGTAAAGGTGTTGAGGCTCGTGTGACTCGGGTTCTCAAGTTGTATCGATTTGTTAAGCACCCTTAAGCTTAACGGAGTTAGTGTAGCTCGAGAGAGTCTCTCGGGAGGCTGGATTAGCCACACGTTGTGGTGAACCAGGATAAAATTCGGTGTGCTCCTTCCTTACGCTCTTTACTTTAACGCTCTCGTTTTTAATTTCCTGTGATTTTGTTTTAAACGCTATTCACCCCCTCTAGCGTTGGGCCTTTATTCAACACATCACCTCATAGGATGTCCTTTCTAAGTTTCAGATATTACTCAAACAGTACACCCCAGTGTTGTTGGGTATTTTGGAGCCTATGAAGTCACCTTCCCAGATTGACTACTATAGGACGCTGTTGGGATTCATGGGGACTAGGTGAGGTGCGAATGACCAGATTTGGCTCTTTTGGAACTTTGACATTGCACCGTCCGTTCATTTTATTTCCTCCTTTGCACAATCTCTAACCTTTTCCTTCTCTCATCCTTCTTTTCCTAACCCTATTTGGTTATCAGTTGTGTATGCTAAATGTAAGTACAGGGACAGGGAGTCGTTGTGGGAATATCTTAGAGAGAGACACGCTCCACTCCCGACCGACATCGCATGGGGGGTGGTGGGTGATTTCAACTGTCTGCTCGATCCCTTAGAAAAGAAAAGAGGTCGACCGTATGCCCCAATCAAATATCGGCCTTTTGTTGAATGCATGGAAGATTGTGAACTGGTTGATTCTCCTTTCACTCGGGAGGATTATACCTGGTTCAACAATCGAGTGGGTGGCGTGGAGATTCGGAGCCGGATTGATCGCTTGTTGTTTAACCGTCCGTGGATGGATATGTTTTCCTGTCTGGTGCATCATTTGGATAGAGTTGGATCAGATCATGCTCCACTGTTGGTGGAGTGTAAGTCTGATGAGCGTCCTCCTGCGCGGCCTTTCACTTTTCTCAATGTTTGGACAGAGCATGAGGATTTTAAGCGAGTTGTGGCGGATTCTTGGCGGGAGGACATTGCTTGAGATCGTATGTTTTCTAAACCATTTCAAATATGTATTCCGAGTTTTTATATTGAATATGAAGCTAATGGCTAACGTTTTTTCAATTGTAGGCATCATTGGGTGTTAGTTGTAATACGCTTGTTAGAAAACAAAGTGTATTTTTTAACTCACTTAAGGGGACGTAAGGGCATAAGCTAATGAAAGTGAAGACTTTCGTATACGAGTAAGTATTAATATGAGTTTTATTAAAAAATATTGATGAAATTTTTTATTTGTTAAGAAATTTATTTCCTATTGATTTGTTTTTTACATATAAACCAGATTAGATTAGGGCTGTAAATGGATAGCCGAAAATCCAATTACCGTCCGCATCTGTATTCGTTTAAATAGGAAATATCTGCATACGTTTTAAACGGATATTATCCGTTTCGGATTAAGGATATCCGATTACTAAACGGATACGGATTTGGTAATTGTATATCCGATCCGTTTAAAATCCGATCCGAATATGCATTCGTTTAAATAATCGTTTATCCGAATATCTGATCCATTATATATAGTTTTTCCTAATTTTTTATGTTTATAATTTGTTTCTCTATTGATATTTCAAAATATAAGACATTTTTATATACAAAATAAATCTGTAGACACATAAAAATATATACAGACATATAAAAGTATGTGTATATGTGTGTTGTGTATATCTTTTTATCATATGAAGTTATCGTAGAATATCATAAATCTTGAAAACAAAGAAAATAATTATCCCATATCAAATTATAGTTGATTTAATAAAGTTTGACTTTAATCTAATTTAAAATTAAAATATTTTTTAATTTGATTATAAAAATTGGAAACGGATACGGATATATCCGATATCCGACCAATATCCGACGGATGCGGATACGGTTTTGATTTTCAGTATCCGTCAAGATCCATATCCGAATTCGATATCCGACAAAAATAAACGGATATGGATTTGGTAATGGCACATTCGATCCGATTAATATCCGTTTACACCCCTAGATTTGATTAGCAGTTACTTCAGGAACGACACATGCCTTAGCTTAAGTCTCGACCACATTGGATTGATGTTCCCGGAGTACCCCAACAACCAGGGGGTAAAGTGTGGATGTTATACTATGCTCATTTTTATGGCTCATCGTCACTTTAGGTGCTCAGTTTTCTATACCGTTATACGATGTAAGTTTATTTTAGTGTGTTTTGAAAGTAATAAAGTGTTCATCATCATTATCTTTTTCATAGATTATTGAAGTTTATGTTGTATGTTTTTTGTATTGCTGGTGTTTCATTCTACTTCGCCCTACACTGTAGGCGAATTAGACGAGGTTAGAGAGCTTTGGGCGGGGGCTTTCTTGATGAACTAGTTTAAGTTTTTTGTTGTGTAGTTGGTTGTATCACTTTTAAAGAGTGAAGTTTATTTGTTGTTGATATTTTTTAGGTTTTAGGTGAACAAGTGATGTAAATGTTCACTTTTTTTGGTTTGTTTGATTTGTTTAATTTGGTTCTGTGAATATAATTATGTTGTTGGGTTGTGTTACGTTGTTGTTGTTGGTTCTGTGAATTCTATGCAAAATTGCACAAAATTCTGTGCAAAATTGCTATTGTTGTAACGCCCCAAAATATACCCTAGAATTATTAATGAATAAGTATTCAAGTAATCAAATTGTTTTGATTAATAATAATAATAATAATTGTTGTTGGGCTTTGGGCTGAAATGAAATATGTTTTAATATCCAATATCAAAATCTGGATAAGTCTCATAAAGATAAATCCAACCTGGTTGACTTATTGTGTGACCTTGATTGGGAACCAGAGTATAGACCCAAATCAAGGATAAATGAAGATATTGTTGTGATATGAAATTTGAAATGAATTCTTGGAATAAACCATGAGAATAAATTAAATGTAAGAATTTTTTATGATAAAAGTCAATTAAATCAATTTTGACTCTCACAAAGTCAAACACCCAAAAATATGATGTCGGAAAAAGTATTACAAATAAATATAAAAATTATATCATTGAATAGAGTTCGACTGTTTGATCACAACGGTGCAAACGGAATTCAATTCGGAGAAAGTTGGACCAAAAAGTGTTCCGCGACTGGGACCAAATTAGTCCCAATCAGGGACTTACGTTTAAAATCGGAGAAGACAGCAGCCCGCTCCACCCAGCCGCCGAAACAGTCGAAGGAGAGGTCATCACCGTGTCTTTTTCCTCCTTCACTTAGCTATATAAGGGTCATCTCCATTCCTTCAATTCCTCACCATTTGTTACAAACTTTCTGTCTATTCTGTTGTTGGGAGTGAGAAGAATTCAGTGGTGTTGTCGTATTGGTGTGAGTTCGCCGGAGATAGCCACAATCCTCTCCGGAAGTCTCACCGGAAAATCTTCAAAACCTTCATTTACCTTCGAGGTAAGCCCATAGATATATCTAGTGACTAGAATGTTCGTAAAGATCGTTTCTACGTTCACAAACGATCGTTTGGTTGAGTTTTGTGTTTGACATGCTTGAAGAACCAAGAATCATAAACCATTAAATTGATGTTAAAACTATGAATTAATGATACCAAAATGATCTATGAACCTTGGAGAACATCTCTATATATTTTAATTGAAGTTCGGTGACTAAAAATGGTTTTTCCGAAAAATGGACCGAGGTTGAGAATGAATGAACAGTGGCTGAAAATCCATAGAGTGGATCGATCATCTTCATTAGATCGATCCTCTGGGAGTTTTTCTTCTAGTGTGGATCGATCCAAAGGGCTGGATCAATCCCCCGAATTTTTGATCCGAAAATTTGTCTGAAAATGTTATTTTTGAGCTCTAAAATCCTATTTTTGATACCAATTGATAATGATCATTATAAAAATGATTTTTCACATTAAAAGTAATATTTTTAACAAATAAAATGTTATGTGATGCATGACAGTAAGTTAGGGTGTTGACACCCGAAGCTAGGCCGCTAATTGTTATTGAATATTATGTTGATTAATGATTATGGTTATGATTATTGATTGATGATTATGATGATTAAGGGGCTGTTTGTTTCAGCCTCTTAATGGTTCAGATGTTTGAATGATTCAGCACTTAATGGTTCAGAATGTTTGTTTCAGCCTCTAAATGGTTCAGATGTCTGAATGGTTAAGAGATTTGCCTTTGAATGGTTAAGTATTATACAGAGTCTGAATGGTTAAGACCTCTTATCTGAATTGATCAGACATTTGCCTCTGAATAGTAAAGTAATATACTAGCTCTTAATGGTTCAGACCTCTTACTGGTTCAGCACTTACCCATTCAGAAGTTGCCAAACAGCCCCTAAATCTTAATAAATATTCTGATTAAAAATTATAATTGTGAATGATTAAATCATAATGAATATAGTGATGATTGTGAAAATAATATACTGTTAAGGGTATCTAGAAGACCTCTAAGATATACCTATTTAAGTTAGGCCTTGCGGGTATGAACCCCGGTGGCTAGGGTTAAAACGTACGTACGGGATCCAAGAACCAAACTTGAGTACCTACTCGTTTGGGGGTGTAACGACCCAAAATATACCCTAGAATTATTAATGAATAATTATTCAATTAATCAAATTTGTTTTGATTAAAATAAAATGTTGTTGGGCTTTGGGCCGAAATAAAACATATATTGATATCCAATATCACAATCTGGATAAATCTCATAGAGATAAATCCAATATGTTGACTTACTGTATGATCTTAATTTGGGGAACCAAAGTATAGACCCAAATTAGGGATTTGTTTATAATGTGAACTTTGAAATGATTTATGAAAATAAATAACATGAATTAAATATATGAATTTTATTGAACAAAGGTCAATTAAATGAATTTTGACTCTGTCAAAGTCAACCACCCAAAAATATGATGTCAGAAAAAGTATTACATGCAAATAAATATGAAAATTATATCATTATGTAGAGTTTGACTGTCTGACCCCAACGGTTCAATCGGATTTCAATTTGGAGAAAGTTGGAACAAAAAGTGTACCCCATTTGGGACCAAAATTAGTCCCAATCAGGGACTACACACCAAATCGCGCCCTGTTCAATTACGCCGATTCCAAATTCATCGCTCAATCACGGAAGCTGCAAACCTGTGTCTTCTTCTTCTTCCCTGGGCTATTTAAGGACAACCCAACTCCCTCATTTCTACACCAAAACCACTCATTCTTCCTTCTATATTGTTCCTTGCTGAAAGTAGAGTGCAGTGGTGCTGTCATCTTTGTGTGAGGTCGCCGGAGCAGTGAGATAGAGTCGCCGCAAGTTTCGCTGGAAAATCTACAAAACCTCCCTTACGCTTCAAGGTAAGCCCGTAGATATATCTAAAGATTAGAATGTTCATATAGGTTGTTTTTACGTTCATAAATGGTCATTTGGTTGAGTTTTGTGTTTGACATGTTTGAAGAACCAAGAATCATAAACCTTGAATTTGATGTTAAAAATATGTTTTAATGATTCTAAAATGATCTATGAACCTGGGAGGACATTTCTATATAATTTAATTGAAGTTTGGTGATTAAAAATGATAATACTCGAAACTGACCAGAGGAAGAAGATGATGAACAGTAGCCCAAAATCGATTATTTACTTCTAAAAAATCGATTAGAATTATGTCCAGAAGAGGATGTTCGAAGTTAGTATATAATCTATTATTTAAAATATAAAAATCGATTTAAAAAGTATTAATCGATTATTTTGAAACTAAAAATTGATCTTTAGCCATTAATTGATTATTTAAAATTTAAAAATTGCTTTTTAGCAATTAATTGATTATTTAAAATATAAAAATCGACTTTTAGCATTTAATTGATTATTTAAAATATAAAAATCAATTTTTAGCAATTAATTGATTATTTAAAATATAAAAATCGATTTTTAGCATTTAATTGATTATTTAAAATATAAAAATCGACTTTTAGCAATTAATTGATTATTTAAAATATGAAAATCGGTTTTAGCTATTAATGGATTATTTTAAATATAAAAATCGATTTTTAGGTATTAATTGATTATTTTTAAAAAAAAATCAATTTTCCTCAAGTACAGATCCTGTTCTGAAAATATTATTGAAAATATGCTCTAAAATCCTATTTTGTTACCAATTAATTATAAACCATATAAATATGATTTTGTACAATAAAAATGATGTTTGTGACATATAAACATTATGTGATGCATGACAGTAAGTTCGGGTGTTATCACTCGAGACTAGGCCGCTATTTGTTATTATGCATTATGACGATTGTTTGATTATTGATTATAATGAATTAATGATGATGAACGTTTTGAATGATGATCATGAATTGTTAAAGTGAAAATAATGAATTAATGAATCGTATTGCTAAGGATATCTAGAACAACTCTAAGATATACCCACTTGTATATTGATTATGATTATTAAGGATATCTAGAAGAACTCTAAGATATACCTACTTGACCAATTCATATTTTGGGTTAAAACATACGTACGGGATCCACGGGATCCAGACCGGATATCACCCACCCGACAAATCATTGTTCGGTTGGTACGTAATCCACATGACTCATAGGGTGGATTATCGATTCTTGTGTTCTGCATTAAACTATTTATAGTTTAAGGGCCTGGTTAGAAATGTTGCCTTAGACTCGAAGAAGTTAAGAGTTGTTATGAAATGATTTGGCCTTAGATTAAGAATAATTTAAAAGCATTATTGATATATTGAATATCAAATGACATGGAATAAAAAATAGAAAATATTATGAATGGTTGAACCATATATTGTGTGCATGATATCAAATGGTTGATTGTGAATTAAGATTCAAATTATGTGGATGTTCGACGCTTTAGATATGCTTACTCAGCTTCACCGCTGAGCGTGTAGTGTGTTTATTTGCTACACGCAGGTAGGCAGAATGAATGATTGGCTGATTCCTGGCAGCAGAAGGGGCGAGACAGTCGTGGTAGATTATTCAATGAAATAAATAATTATGTTGTTATGAGACAAATTTTAAAGTCGCTTCCGCATTTTATTTAAACACTCCGTATTTCTCTACAATTATGTATGGAATATTATTTATAAATAAAAATGTTTGAAATGTTTTAAATTATCACGATTACCAAATCAATACTTTAGTCCGAAAGGGACTGCAGCCCTGGACGGATTAGGGTGTTACAGGGGGTACCACCCACCCAACAGTGAACACTACGCTGTCGGTTTCTGGTTGGCCTTATGTGAAGGTAAGTTTAAGATTTTCAAAACCCGTTTATCTTAAAATAGGCCTAGCTTGAGGATTATTTAGGAGTACTTTATGCTAGAATATAGTTTAATTATTTAAACTAGAATTCATTTAAGAGTTGATAAACATTAATGTGATTGGCCTTAGAGTAAGAATAGTTTACGGATATTGTCGAATGTTGAATATTGAATATGAATGAATATTGAATGATGATTATTGAATTGAATATTGTGATTATTATGAATGACAGATGACCATTGAATATGAATGAATATTGAATGATGATTATTTAATTGAATATTATGAATAATCGATGAACGTCGAATATGAATATAAATGTTGAGTAATGAATGATGAATAGTGACTAATGATTATTGAATATCTGAACTAAACATTATGTGCATGATATCAAATGATTTGATTATGAATTTAGATTCAGTTTATATGGATGTTCGACGCATTAGATATGCTTACTCAGCTTCAACGCTGAGCGTGTAGTATGTTTTATTTGCTACACGCAGGTTAATAGAAAGAATGAAGTGACGTGATCCTGGAGGCAGACGGATGCGAGATTGTTGGAATGGATGTGATGGTTTGAATTAAAGAACATAAATGAATTATGTTTGTGATTATGATTTGTTAAGCTTCCGCAATATTGAAAACTCCGTACTGTTTATATTATGAAAAATATTATTATGATAAATAAAAGTGTTTGAAATGTTTTAAATTTTGACGATTACCAAGTTAATGCTTTAGTCCAAAAGGGGCTGCAGACCTGGACGGATTAGGGTGTTACAATTGTGGTACGTCCTACAAACTGCACCAGGTTTTAAAAAATATTATTTGCATTGGCTGTTAGCTAACAACGGATGCAAAAGACCCTTCCCCAGAAATGGAATGGGGCTTTTGCATCGGTTGTTAGCTAAAACCGATTCAAAAGCCCCTTCCCAGAGGTGGCGTCACTTCTGGGAAGGAGCTTTTGAATTGGTTGTTAGCTAACAACCGATTCAAAAGGCTCTTCCTAGAAAATGGCACCACTTTTGGGAATGGGCTTTTGAATCAGTTCTTAGCTAACCGATGCAAAAGCCACTTCTGGGAAGGGGCTTTTGATTCAGTTGTTAGTTAATAACCGATGCAAAAGTCCATTCCCAGAAGTGGCGCCATTTCTGGGAAGAGGCTTTTGAATTGGTTGACAACCGATGCAAAAGGTAAATTGAACGATTAATCGTAAGTATCTGCATCGGTTTCCAACCGATTTAAAAAGGTAAAAATGACCGATTTAAATTGCTTTTTTTGTAGTAGTCTAAAAAACCTACATCAACAATATCTACATAATTGGAATAGAATTAAGGATCACGAAAGTATTAGTTATTAAATACGGTGAGACTGCGGGAGAAGAAGGTGGTATAAGAAGTGGGGTAAGGAATACTTAAATGAGGGAACAAATATTAATTACTTCCTCTGTCTCTCTAAGATCCTTTTTTTGTGGTTTTTAATAAGAACTGAAAAAAGATGAAAGTTTATCAAAGTATAGTTAATGAAAATGGGTGGAGTACTGTATTAAATGTTGTAGAAATGTAATAAATAAAGTAAGTGAGAGTAGTTGTAATATTTTAAATACTCCATCCGTTCCTTTAAACCCTTCCACTTTTGACTTTTCGCAAAAATAAGGAAAGTGTTATTTTTTTGACTTTCCAATTTTGCCTCTGATGTGATGGGTAAAAGTAAGATGTGATAGTTTGGTTATTAGTGAAAAACTATGATATGATAGGTAGGATATGAAAAAGTAAGGGTAAAAGTGATTTTTAATAGAAAGTGGAATTGTTTTAAGAAATTCAAAAAAAATGAAAGGGAAGGATTTTATGGAACTGATGAGTACTCCCTCCGTCCCCCATAAATCTTCTCATTAGCCCTTTTTATTTGTCCACCATAGATCTTCTCATTACCTTTTTTAACACTTAAAATACCACAACTACCCCCGCTTACTTTATTTATTACATCTCACCTACCTCATTTAATACACTCCACCCATTTTCATTAAGGGTATTATGGTAAACTTTTCACCTTTTTTCAACTCTCCTAAAAAACCACAAAAAATCAAAACGAGAAGATCTTAGGGGGACAGAGGGAGTATTAAAAAAGCAATGAGAATATCTATGAAAAGAAAGAATTAATGACAAAATCTATGGGAAAGGACTAAGGAAGGACTAATATTTTATTCATTTCCCACGTTTGGCCATTGGATTATGCTATGTGTACCCCCAAGATTTGTACCCCAATTTGTACCCCAAAGTTTTGCACCAACATTTTATGTTGGTGTAAAACTAATTTTTGTTAAACGCACCAACATTTGTGTCCGTGTGAATTTTTTATTAACGCACCAACACTTATGTCGGTGTAAACGATTGAAATGTTTATGCAAACCTGTTCTGTACAAATGGGGTATATTTGTTGGTGTAAGTGTAGCATGGTCCTTGGCCATTACTGTCGCGTGCTTGCTTCCGAGCTCTGGAAAGCGGTATTCTACTCCGTATTTTCACACTGCCACAAAAGATTCGCCACTATTTACCACTTTCCCCATGCTCCTCCTCCGCCACCTTCCACACACTACTCTTTATATATATATATATATATATATATTCCTAATAGGTAATTCCTTTCCATTTCATTTCATTAAAAAAAAAAAATCTCTCTGCGGCCTCTATCTCTTGCATGTTTAGTTGAACTAGGCAGTTAGTTAAGAAAGCGAGCCACGAAAGATGATAAGTTCATTAGATTTCTACCATGTCATGACAGCAATGGTTCCACTGTATGTGGCCATGTTACTGGCGTATGGTTCAGTGAAGTGGTGGAAGATTTTCACCCCGGACCAGTGCTCTGGAATCAACCGATTTGTGGCTCTCTTTGCTGTCCCTCTACTGTCATTCCACTTCATAGCAGAGAATGATCCCTACACTATGAACCTGAGGTTCATTGCAGCCGATACCCTCCAGAAGCTCATTGTTCTCGGGGGTCTTGCTGTGTGGGCCAATTTCAGCAAGAGGGGCAGTCTGGAGTGGTCCATCACCCTGTTTTCCTTGTCCACTTTGCCCAATACCCTTGTGATGGGCATCCCTCTGCTGAAGGGGATGTATGGGGATTTCTCTGGGGGGCTTATGGTCCAGATTGTGGTGCTCCAGTGCATCATCTGGTACACTCTGATGCTCTTCTTGTTTGAGCTCAGGGGCGCCAGGATGCTGATTTCGGAGCAGTTCCCCGACACGGCAGCCTCCATTGTCTCAATCCGTGTGGACTCAGACATCGTGTCGTTGGACGGAAGGCAGGGGCTGCTGGAGACATCGGCGGAGGTGAAAGAGGACGGGAAGCTGCACGTCACGGTGAGGAGGTCGAGCGCCTCGAGGTCGGACATCTTCTCGAGAATGTCTCACGGGGGCGGCATTGTTACCCCGAGGGCGTCAAACCTCACCAATGCCGAAATCTATTCCCTGCAATCGTCGAGGAACCCGACCCCCAGGGGGTCCAGCTTCAACCACGTCGACTTCTTCTCCATGGCCGCTGCTAGAAATTCCAATTTCAGTGCTAGGGACGACGTGGTTGGGCCAACCCCCCGGCCTTCTAACCACGAAGACGAGAGTACTAAAGCTAGATCTCATCATCATTTCTACCCGGCTCCAAACCCTGGCATGTTTTCGCCTTCAAACAAAGGGGCCAATAATCAAGTCATCGCCAAGAAACCCAATAATCATGCACCGCTAAAGGGTGGGGAAGAGGGCGGGAAAGAACTTCACATGTTCGTTTGGAGCTCGAGTGGGTCCCCCGTTTCTGATGTCTTTGGAGGCCGTAACAACCATGCAATCATTCCTCTAGACCAGCCTGCTAATAAGGAAGTCAGAGTCCACATTCCCCCAGCCAAAGGTTTCATCATTTTGTTCCTCTATCCAAATTATTTTACCCATACCATATTTGTATGTCCAATTGATCATTCTCCCTAGTTTTTTAAAAGAAATATTTGCACTAAATAACACTAAAACTTAAATCATTTCCCTAAATATCACTTAAACTGTTTTATTCCCTAAATAGCACTTAATAATGTCCATAATGTCCATTGATGGCAAATATTTGATTGAATAATGACTAATGCATAATGACTAAAAGTGCTACATTGGGAAAAAAAATACATGTAGTGTTACTTAAAGAAAATCATTATGTTTTAGTACTATTTAAGTAAGAGAAATTTACTTAAAAAACACTAAAATATAATGACTTTCTCTAATTAGCACCACATGTGTTTTTCTTTCCAATGTAGCACTTTTAGTCATTATGAATTAGTCATTATTCAAGCAAATATTTGTCATCACTAGACATTATGGACATTATTAAGTGCTATTTAAGTACTATTTAGAGAAATGACTTAAGTTTTAGTGCTATTTAATGCAAATAGTTCTTTAAGTAAATTCCTCTTTTTAAAATATATCCTCTTTCATTTTTTTATTAAAATATTTTCACTTTCTATTAAAAATCATTTTTAAACTTACGTTTTCTTATCTTAGCTATCACATTATACTTTTTGACTAATAGTTTATTCATCACATCTTACTTTTTCATATCACATCAAGTGAAAATTAGAAAGTCAATCACAAATATACACTTCTTTTTACTAAAAGTTAAAATATAACCCGTTTTATGAAGTGGCAGGTAGTATGTTAGATTATTACAAAAACTTTCTTTGGGGTTTTATGGATAAATTTTATCGAGTTTTTGGTTGGATTAGAATTTGAAGGTAGCAAGAAGATTGAAGGTATTGATTACAAGGAGATGATGAAAAATAAAGATGTAGAAATGAACAACAATGACAGAATTGTTGGAGGTGGGAAAGTCGTGGAAGAGAGGAAAGTGAAGGGCAGCCCTCCAACAAGTGTGATGACAAGGCTTATACTAATCATGGTTTGGAGAAAACTTATAAGAAACCCAAACACTTACTCCAGCTTGCTCGGCCTTACTTGGTCCCTCCTCTCATTCAAGTACGCACGGAGACACGAGTGTGTGTCCCCATTCATCTATCCCTTCATCATTTCATTATTTACTACCTCCGTTCTAGTTTCGATTTTTTTTCAGTCAATCGTTCTCAACATTTGACCTATACTTAAATAAAATATACTCTCTCCGTCCCATAAAGATGGGTACATTTTGACTAAAGTAGAAATTAATAGAGGGATAATTTTGTGTTGACTTTCTAAAAATAACTTTGATGTGATGGGTAAAAGTATGATGTGATGTGTAGATTATTAGGAAAAAGGTATGATGTGATAGGTAGGGTTTGAAAAAGTAAGGGGTAAAAATAGTTTTTTAATAGAAATGGGTAAGGGATTGTGGGACGTAATTTTTTTGAAACGTGTAAATCTTTTTGGGACGGAGGGAGTATATTGTATTTCGTCCGTCTTTAAATATTTACCACATTTCAAAAAACGGGGCCAAATATCAAGTTTTAAATTCATTTTATTTAAATATTAGTATAAAAATAGAAAATTAAATTTAAATATTTAAAACTAAATGAAAAATTCTTCTAAATGAGAGGTATCAAAAACATTCTATATTATCAAATAATAAATGAAAACGTGCAAATAAACAAAAATTTTTGTGACTTTTGAACTAGGAAATGTGGTAAATATTTTGGAACGGAGGGAGTATATTAATTAGAAAAAATAATACTTTGAAAATATCTTATACTACCTCTGTCCTAAAAAGATTTACACGTTTTGACTAAAGTTGAAATTAAGGGAGAGATAATTTTGTGTTGACTTTCCAAAAATACCTTTGATGTGATGGGTAAAAGTAGGATGTGATATGTAGATTATTAGAAAAAAGGTATGATGTGATAGGTAGGGTTTGAAAAAGTAAGGGGTAAAAGTAGTTTTTTAATAGAAATAAGTAAGAAATTGTGGGACGCAATTTTTTTGAAAGGTGTAAATCTTTTTGGGACGGAGGGAGTATAATCTAATAAAAATTATTTTTGAATCAATATCTAATATCATTTTTATTTAATTTGTAGTAAAAGTTACCAATTTTGATATAAAAAGTCAAAGGTGGAGAAATACTCCAGAAGGGGAGTGTTTATTTATGAGTATTTACTTACCCGATTGTGTATTATACTCCCTCCGTCCGCCTAAGATGTTCTCATTTTGACTTTTGGTGGTTTTTAAGGAGAGTTGAAAAAAGGTGAAAGTTTACCATAATACCCTTAATGAAAAATGGGTGGAGTGTATTAAATGATGTGGGTGAAGTGTAATAAATAAAGTAAGTGGGGGTAGTTGTGGTATTTTACTTGTTAAAAAATGAAATGAGAAGATCTATTATGGACAAAGAAAAAGGGCTATTGGGAAGATTTATGGTGGACAGAGGGAGTATTACTTATTCTGTCTCAGAGTATTTATCTATTTTTGACTTTTTTTAGTCAAAATTGATAAGCTTTGACTTCAAATTAAATAAAAATGATATTATATATTGATAAAAAATAGTTTTACTAGATTTATTAAATAAGATATATTCAAAATATTAATTTATCTAATTAATACTCCCTCCGTCCTAAAACTTTCTTCCCGTTGCGCAAAACGAAGAAAAATTCCAAGTTTTTTCAATCTATTTTATTTAAATATTGGTATAGAAATAAAAAATAAAACATACATATTTAAAAACTACATCAAAAGTTCAACAAAACAAGTGGTGACAAGAATATTTTATTTTATCATATAGGCCATGAAAAAACATAAATAAATATAAATTTCCGTGAAGTTGGAATAGGGTTCTGGGAAGAAAGTTTTAGAACGGAGGGAGTATGCAAAATATATATATATATATATATATATTAAAAATAATTACCTGTAAAAAATTATAATTGGACAAATACTTCGGAATGGAGATATTTTTACCCAGCCATTCATTTTTAATTAAAACTGATGAGTTTGGACAATACTGGCTACTTGCTTGCAGATGGAATGTAGAGATGCCTGCAATAATTGCAAAGTCCATTTCTATTCTTTCAGATGCTGGTCTTGGCATGGCTATGTTCAGCCTGGGTAACTCTCCATCTTTTTTAAATTTTAATATATTCTCGTTGTTCCGGACTCTTATTACACCTACTACATTACTCAATTCAAAAACAAACTTTTTTAGTTCTTTCAGACTATTTTCTTTTCTTGGTGCAATCCAAAAATTAGTATGTTTGTGAAAGAAAACGTGACGTCCTGTTCTATGCATATCCACATTTTTGATATCAGTTCTTTTTGTTACTCATCCTTCCCTAAATGAATTATACTCTCTCCGTCACAAATTATTTGTCACATTTTTATTACCGAGACAAAATATCAAGTTTTTTCAATTCATTTTATTTACATATTGGTAAAGAAATAAAAAATAAAAAGTACATATCAAAAAACTACATGAAAAGTTCTTTGAAATAATAGGTGTCAAGAATATTTTATTTTATCAAATAACTAATGAAAACATAGAGTTAAACAAAAGTTACCGCGATTGTTGAAAAAACAAATGTGACATATAATTTGGGACGGAGGGAGTACTTTATTCGAAACCAAGTAAATTAAAAGTTCTATAAAATAAAATATGATAAGAGCATTTCATCAAAAAAAATCTTTGACATTATATATCCAAGAAAAAAAATCAAGAAATATTTGCACAAAATAAAACTAAAACTTAAGTCATTTTCTTAAATAGCACTTAAACTCTTTTATTCTCTAAATAGCACTTAATAATTTTCATAATGTCTAGTGATGACGAACATTTACTTGAATAATGACTAATGGATAATGACTAAAAGTACTAAATTGAGAAAAAAACACATAACATGTTATTTAAGGAAAGTCATTATGTTTTAGTACTATTTACATAAATTTTTCAAAAATCAACCCTATAAAATTTTAACGGAAATTTCAGAAAAAAATTATGGGAGGAAATATGTATGTATATATTTAATTATTTGAATATTGTATGGGGTATGTTTTATTTACTTATTTTAGCTTAAATTTAAAAAGATAAATAAAAAATGATTAATTTGTAATCATGAGGAGGGATTATGGGGCTTTATGACTATATTTATTTTTTGTCATGAAACCCCTGTTGAGCTGGGTGCCAAATAACGAATAAAGATTTGTGAAACTTAGTTTGTTGTTATTATTAGGGTGGCCTCAAAAATCAAATCCTCCCCTCATAGGCTAATGAGTGATCTCCACCCTACACTAATTAATACACTAAATTACGTGCGAAAAGAAAAAGTGTGTGGTGTCATCATACATGTCTCCCCTTGTGCTCTGTTATTTTCCGATTATCTCTTTTAACTTTAACACAATTCAAGATCTATTTCAAAAATTATGTCTACTTTAAAGTTAGCTTTTAAATTTGGAAAAACTATCTCAAATAATTCTATATTTTCATACTCTTTCAAAAATAATCTTACATTTCATGGTTATCGAAAATAATCTCACCCTTCATCGAAAAGGTTGGATTATTTAAAATAATTTTCCTTTTAATTTTTGTAACTTTAAGAAAAGAGGAAGTTTTAAATTGAAATTGGAAGTTTTTATTTCAAATTTATTTGTGTGAGGGAGAAATAAATTTGTGACCTTACTTATTTAATTAGTAGTTTATTCTCTTAATTCATTTTCTACTGCACTGTTTTTATATTAAGTTTTTGGTTTGTTTTTTTTCAATTTAAGTTTTGTGGTTTGAATTTATAAATAATGCTCATGAAGTACATAAAAAATTCTTGAAATGAATGAAACTTATTTTAAAACTAAAGTAGTACTCTTTAAAACGAAGAATTTTAATATGATATGTATGAGTCTCCTTCTTTCCCTTTTAAATCTTCTCAGTTCACTTTTTACGATATTCAATATTATAACTGATATCTTTATTTATAATTGGATATATATTATAAAACTTTAAATGTTTTAAAACTTTGTATCAAAATGAACTTCCTGAAACTAATTTGTATCACAATTCAATGCATTTTTTCTTTAATTTGTAATCAAATATAAAAGAATGATCTTAAGAGTCAAACTAGGAAGGTTTTAAAAGGGACGGATGAAGTAATAAAACGTAATCGCCTTTTTTCTTACTAAGTTTTTTATTTCAATTTTTATCTTTTTTTAAATAATGCAATTTAATATATTTTTTTCATAATTTTTAGTCAAACTTTAAAAAATTGATCTTAAGTGTCAAAGTAAAAGATTTTTAAAGCTGTCAAAGAAAAAAGGAAGATTTTAAAAGGGACGGAGGGGGTAATGAAATCTAATTCCTTTTTCCGTAATAATTGTTATAGTTTCCTTTTTACACCCTCTGTCCCGGATTATTCGTCCAGTTTTGACTTTTGGAACTATTCATTTAAGCATTTTGGCTCATCAAATTCTCTTAATGTCTAAGCCTAAATATAGTCATGTGTGATCTTGTTTGATTTGTCTTAACATATAGATTATTAATATATAATTTCTATAATTTTTTAATATACAAATTACAAGATAAAATGGATTAAAGAAGTGTATTGAATGGTGTGTAAAAATGCAAGTGGACAAATACTCTGGGACGGAGGTAGTATCTTTTTTTAAAATATAGCATTTTTTAAAGAAAAAAGCATATGGTTCAATAAATAATCTCTCATCTATATAAATTTAATCTATGCATTTTAAATCTTATTAAATAAATTTTTTAAAAATTTTATAAGAATCAAATTTACATAGGGTGTACTGTTTATACATAAGTAGGGTGTACTGTTTATACATAAGTAAATTCTCAGAATGCTCATTTGTGATAAGGTATAATCTAATTCGGTCATCGATAATTTCTAATTACCTACATGGTACTTTATAATTGAGACCTATTTTTTAGGTAGTCCTTCGTAAATAATATTACTCAAATTATTATTAATTAAAGTGTATTTTTGTATTTTAATCATCTAAATTTAACATATATTCTCAAATTCGTCATTTCTATACAATTAAATGTAAAAATTAAAATAATTCATGAACTATACATAATCTATAAATTATTAAAAACCTATAAAAAAATCTTTTAAAATTTGGATCAAATACACATCTTTAATCAGATAAAACCATCTTGAGAAAGCATTTCATTTTAAATAATCACTTTAAGAACTTATTCTAAATTTAGTTGATGAAAAAATATCAGAATACTTCCAATTAATTATCATTTGAGTAACATTATTTACGAAAAAATATCTAATCTAGAGACTAAATCTCAATTACCAGATGGCAATGAGGTAATAAACTTTTATTGATGACGTACTGATTTAAAAAATACCTTATTAAAAAGGATCATGTTACAAATTTCCAACTTAATGTGAGAGTAGAAGGGAGAGATTAAATTAAATGGTAGGTGAGATGGTAGCGGGGAGGTATATATGATCCTCTGCGTAGTTAGGGATATGCTAGGGGTACACCTTTACACCAAAGGTGTACTCCAATTGTACACCACATCTCTTTGCCCCAAATGTAGTTATGGTTGTCGGTTAAGTAGTTTGTGGGGGGTGAAATGATTGGGAGGGTTGAACTAATTAAAGGTTAGTGTTTGTGTGGATGACAGGTCTGTTCATGGCATTACAACCAAAGATCATAGCATGTGGGAACTCGGTGGCGACTTTCGCTATGGGCGTTAGATTCCTCACTGGCCCAGCTGTGATGGCTGCCGCCTCCATCGCTGTCGGCCTCCGAGGCGTTCTCTTACACGTTGCCATTGTCCAGGTCACCAATCCCAATCCATTATTATTATTATTCCCCCGACAATTCACCGCGCCTATCGCTTTACTCGATCTCCATCTTGTCTGCCTGCAGCGGCAGGCTAATTAACCCAACTAATAACCTTTGTTATCATTTTGTACTATAATAATAATATGACAACAGGCTGCTCTGCCTCAAGGAATTGTCCCCTTTGTCTTCGCCAAGGAATATGGCGTGCACCCTGACATTCTTAGCACTGCGTACGTTATTCTCATCCCACTACCTCCCATCCCCGTGCTTTCCAACTCTTACTCCCTCCCTCCCTAGACAAATGTTTTCTTATTCTAATGACGTTCAAAATTTAGTGACTTTTGAAATAATTTTATCTATAAATTAAAAATACAACCTCCGTCTCTGAGTATATATATTTATTCAGTTTTTGATATTTTCCTGTCAATTGTTTTTATTTTTTGATCTATAATTAAAAAATATTTATATTATTGTATATTAATTAGATAATTTTAAAAAGTTTGATATTACAAATCTAATAAAACTAATTTATATCAATATCTAATATTATTTTTATTTAATTTAAGATCAAAGTTTACCAAGTTTGAATGAAAAAAAGTTAAAAGTGGACAACTAATCAGGGACGGAGGGAGTAAAATTTAGATATTTATAAACTACATAACAAATTCTACAAAATAAGATGTGACAAAAATTAAGTGTTATATAGAAATTTGATAATACCTTAATCTCAATGTATTTATCTAAGCTGACATTTTCGATTCAATCTCGATAAACTTAGAGTTTCAATTGCTCTTAATTTGTACTGCATATTAGGTCATGTTCTCTCCAACTTATTCATATTACTTATTACTTTTTGTTGATTGAACATGTTCAGATATAATATCATATCAAACTCGATCAGATCAGAAATAGTTTTAAATATAACTACATTAAGACTAGATCAGACCAGATCAAATCAGATCGGAAACTTATTCAATTCCGATCATAAACATTCAGATCTAGTGAAGAGATCATTGCCTTAGTATAATAAGAGAGAATTTAGAAAGTTTTCAACAAGATATCTTTAATAATATCATACACACACACACACACACACACACACATATAGACAAGTAGACAACACACACATACACACAAATATACATTGCAGTTTTTGTTTATTTGAAACTCAAATTCATCTTATATGACTTGAAAAAGTCAAATTCAGACGAGGAGAATTATCAAAACTATTAAAACTATATTCTAAAATAAACTCACCTTTACAAAATTTATATTATCACAAAATATATATTTTTCATAATTATTTGTCAAAGTATAACACACTATGACAAAAAAAGTTAAACAACGGTGATCTTCTTGGGACAGAGAAAAATCTTTAGAAATATTGAAAAACTACTTCCTCCAAGAATTACAGTGCTCACTATTTAAAAGTAACAGAAACATTTGTTTGTTTGTGCGTTTTGATTCATTATTCGATAAAATAAAATATTTTTTTTTACTTCTTGTTTTGAAGAATTTTTTACCTAGTTTTTGAACATGTAAGTTTTATTTGAAATTTCTATAGCTAATTTTTAAAAAAATAGATTAAATATGTTTAAAATTTTATTTAGGTTTTACGTAAATTGTAAAATATTTTGGGGGGAAGGGAGTAATAAACATTAGGACTTACGAGACAAATTTTGATAAAAGGAATGATTGCATCTAATTTGGAATGGCAGAATCGGCTCTCTTTCTATTAAAGGGTAATTACTTTGTACGTAGTTACATTTTTTTTTATCCGAGTGGGCAAACCACCAAGTATGGTGGGGTAAGGTCTAGGCAAACCCTTACCGAGTATTATTAAGATATCATCGTCACCACAAAGTGAGGGGAGGACCAAACCGAGGCCTAACGCCAGCCCCTCATACGGAAGACAAGCCTTCCGGGGAGTAATGTACGTAGTTACATTGTTATCAATTTCCTCCACCATAAAATCCTCTTTAACATCGTATCTACTATCTACACCAACACTGCAGAGTCATATTTGGGATGCTAATTGCCTTACCAATAACGCTGGTCTACTACATTTTGCTGGGATTATGAACATATATGGGACTGTCTGCTTCAAATTTAATACTTCGACCTAACTGCGAGCGCAAAAAAGGAGGGAACGAGGGCTATTCCAATTAAATGGTTCATGAATCCAGCCTCAGTATTATATGTCTCTTGTACTCAATTGTTTGATCTAAGGGAAAGTGCAGAAAATGTGCTATGCTTAGTTTATTTATGGGATGTCCAATAGATTAGAAAACTAACGGCTCGTGGCAAAAGTTTTCTCATTTTGTTATCTGCTTTCTTCATTAGATTGATTCGATGCAGTGTTGGTGATTTTAGTGTCATCAATTTATTTTGTGTAATTGGATTTACTTTGATCGGACAAGAATTTAAATAGACGTTGTCAAACGAGTTAGGAGGCGCGGAGTGCGCGCTCGTTCAACGATATTATAAATTCACTGCGGGGTCCGGGGGCGGCAGCCCCCGGGTAGCGGGGTCCAAGGGGCGGAAGCCCCTGGCGGGGTCCAAGGGGCAGAGCCCCTGGCCGGGAGTGACGGGAGTCCTAAACGGTAAAGGACTCGTACATAATGGATAAACGTCGAAATTAAGCCTTCAACCGCAGGAGACCTTTCGTTCAAACTCGCACCTTTCTTCTTCTTGCGCGAACGTACGCGTACATCTACGCGAATGTTCATGTCCGATCACAAGGATTTTTGACTCTATAAAATAGAGTCTCGTGGTATGGGTTGATAGACAGATTCTCGAGTGCTTGTTCTGAATTAACGTCTTATCCGATTGAAGTATTTCGTATACCCCGAAATAACTTTGATCTGAAAGCGTTTCGTACGCGATTCGTTATTCTATCGAGTTCTTCGTTTAACACTGCTTCGCAGTGTTCTTCCTCTTCTAATTCCAACATGCAGCAATGGTGTTGGCTTGAGATATTAGAAGGAAATCAAACCCCAAGGTTTAGCATCTTTTCTAGTTCGCTTAATTCTTGTTTTAGTAGGAATAGAAATTTTCTTGTTTGCTTTATCCTCTTTCTATATAAAGAGGGTTAGGTATTTGTATTCATAAGACAATTCAATAGAGATGTACTACCTCCGTCCCAAAAAGATTTACACATTTTGACTAAAGTTGAAATTAAGGGAGAGATAATTTCGTGTTGACTTTCCAAAACTACCCTTGATGTGATGGGTAAAAGTAGGATGTGATGTGTATATTATTAGGAAAAAGGTATGATGTGATAGGTAGATTTTGAAAAAGTAAGGGGTAAAAGTGGTTTTTTAATTGAAATGAGTAGGAGATTGTGAGACACAATTTTTTTGAAAGGTGTAAATGTTTTTGGGACGGAGAGAGTATATACCTTCCCCATTATTATTTTCTTCATGGTACCGGAGTAAGTTTTCAATTTTTGAGACCTCAAACACGCTTCCACTCTTCTGCCGGTGGGCATACATACTTCAATGCCTATTAGTGGGATATCGTGATCTCTTGTTTTTCTCCCTAAATAATCATTGGACGTGCCTTTTGTTGGGAAACGAGGCTTGGATAACGCAGCGGAAAACAAAAATTTATAGTCCAAAACTCGATTCCACCCAAGAACAACTTACGTAAATTACTAGCTATAGTAAGAAATTTACCTTAACGGTGAAAACGGAGAACGGAGGAACGGTCGGGGATGGTTTTGAGGAGATGAACGTAGCGCCAAACGTATGAAGCCTCCAACGTATCTACACGAACTTGCTCCGGAGTCCAAGATTAAACTTGTGCTAGCAAGTTTAATATAGGATAGTAAAAACTATAATAATACTATTTTGGGAGTAATAAATATATAGTAAAATATTTATCTTATAAATATTTGTTTATAATATTTTGTGTATATTTCTAACACTTTAGAAAAATAACTTTGAACACAAAATAAAACTTTCTTCTCTCTAAAATTGGGATGGCCGAAAAATCACACACATAAAATGGGGAGGGATTTTTCTCATTTTATAATAAACAACTTAAATGAATTTCTAGGAAATAGCTCAGGGACAAAATAAATTAGGATTAATGTAATGTCCCCAACCAACAAAACAAGACAAATATCCTTTTGTTAATCAAATATTTGATTATAAAATCAAATATATCATTAGGTGGAATATCAAAATATGTTTTGTATTTTTT